TCATTCTCCCAGTCCCTGTCTTTACTTTCTGTGACTTGGGCAGTGTGTGTGGAGCTCTTGCCAGTGAAGTCCAAGGCAAAAAAGTTATCGAGTACCTCAGCCTTCTCCATGTACTGGGTAACCAAGTCTCCTGTTTCCTTCCCGAAGGGGCACACATTTCCCCTAGTGTTCCTTTTATCACCAATGTTCCTGTAGAAGCTTTTCTTGTAGCCCTTGACAAAATGGACTTAAGAAATCTGAGAACCTCTTGTTTGTTGTTTATTCATAATGACAATGTGTTGAAAACAAAACTGGAGGACAGTTTGTGGCTGCCATTTTTGGTTGGTTGACATAAGTGCATATCTTAAGCACAAGCAGCTAGCTACAATTCATTAGAAAATATTTAAGTTAATGATTTGATCAATAGCAGGTAAACTGAGGCTGGTTTCACTAAACCTTATTTTGTCTGTTCTACTATCTCTAACTTGCTTCTCTAGTATTCCATCTTTATATGATACGTTGTGTCTGGTACTCATCAGCAGTGGAGTCTCATTTAAAATAAGTTGAGCTCTGAAATGTTTTAGATGTTCACCAAAATTCTAATTTTCTAGTGAAAATTGGGAAAGAAATAGAAACAGATGTTCCATCAGTTTCAAAGAGTGCTGGGATTTCTGAATGGTGTCACACAGATAATACCATACAGTTAAGTGCATAAACATCATTAGCAATGACTGCTGGAGCAATTCTCTTTTGTATCCACAGTACGGTTCAGTTTATCAATAGAGTAATTAGAGTCAGAAAATTCATTGTAATCAAAAATGCTAATATGTACTTGTTAACAATGCCAGGTGCCTAAAAATAAAAAAAAAAAGTAATAATTAAAAAAATCAGATACTTGATGAATCAGGTACTTCTGAAAGTCCTACTGAAACTCCTCACGTTCTGAAATACTTCTGGAAATTTTACTCAAAAGTTTGTTGAAAGAAAATGGTGATGGAGGAAGAAGGATGAAAAAAGATGTAGGAACGTAACTATACGGAGTTTTGGAAACAGAAACTGGAAATTATGTCACTTAAAAGCTTCAAAAAACTTTGGCCAGGCTCCTTAAAAAAGACTTTGACTGTCAAACTGGAAAACCTCACAGCAATATTGAAATAGAGCAAGGATTCCTTAAACCCTGCAAACCCTGCAAAGGGAAGACACTGCTGGAAAATAATGATGTCTGGAAAACAAACTTTTACATTTAACTGTCCAAATTTCAGCTCAGAGTATCACAAAGAACAAGACAAAATAGTTTTTCATGAGATTTGGTGGTTTCACCTTCTTTTTTCAACACACTTTATAAAAAAGTGTGATGGCAAATGAATGAATAAAACTGCTTTCACTGATAGTCCAGAGGAGGGCCACGAGGATGATAAGAGGACTGGAGCACCTCCCGTATGAAGACAGGCTGAGAAAGTTGGAGCTGTTCAGCCTGCAGAAGAGAAGCTGCGTGGAGACCTCATAGCAGCCTTCCAGTATCTGAAGGGGACCTACAAGGATGCTGGGGAGGGACTCTTCATTAGGGACTCTAGTGGTAGGACAAGGGGGAATGGCTTTAAACTTAAACAGGGGAACTTTAGGTTAGATCTAAGGAAGAAGTTCTTCACAGTGAGGGTGGTGAGGCACTGGAATGGGTTGCTCAAGGAAGTTGTGAATGCTCCAACCCTGGAGGTGTTCAAGGCCAGGCTGGACAGAGCCTTGGGCAACATAGTTTAGTGTGTGGTGTCCCTGCTCATGGCAGGGGGGTTAGAACTAGATGATCTTAAGGTCCTTTCCAACCCTAACTATTCTGATTCTGTGATTCTATGATAAGAAAAAGTTGTGTTATCTATATGAAATTTATCTGGAAATACGTAACAATCTTTTGCTTTTGACCACAAAACGTAATTCTGTGATTCTATATCTGAAGCATTTATATGAACTTCATGAAAAATTGGAGTATTATTGTGCAATTACTTATGGAAAATTGTACCTTTGCATGTTGTATTTTTTAACTCATGTCTTTTTTCTTACTTTAATTTTACTGGTCTTCTGATTTAAACAAAAAAACAAAATCAGACCTAAGGGATCTATCTGGAAAACTGTCATACTTCATATGACGCACTGCATATATGACATGCTAATACAATTACTCAGTTGTAATTATCTACTAATTTCAGTTTAAGAAATGGAAGCTGTGTGAGATGGAAACAAACCTTGAGAGATTTTGATTATGATGTCACCCATTAGCATGAAAAGTATCACCAGTGAAAGCCACAAAAAACTTGACCCTGCTCTAAGAAACCTAACGTTTAGACAGTTTATGGGAACTGGAGGAAAAATAATTCAAAGTGGAACAGAATTTGTAATACCTGGAATTATAATCTTGAATAATTACACAAATATTTATTGCTCTTCTCTTGTACATTTTTATCTCCTCAGCCATATTTTTAGTAATTTTCGTAAGCTACATCACAACTATTTGTCTGCACACACTTTTATTCTCCCTTCCCCCCCCTTCATTTATCAGAGCTATTTTCTAGAAAGTCATAGAATTAATTTATTAGGCTTCATCAGGATTTAATCCTTATTTTTAGAAATGTGATATGCATTAATGGGTAATACAATTTTTACATTCATGTCACCTACAGACTCCCTGTATCATGAAATACATGTTTTTGAGATCGAAAAATGCAAACACTCACTGAATTACTGCCTATAGATATCGGTCAAGTAAGCATGAACAGACTACTAATGAGAAGCAGTGGTGTTGCCAGTCTTCTGAAAGAAGATGTGTTTAGAAGTTGCTTAAATGAGTCATTACTTCAGAAGCAAAAGTAAAGAAGAGAAAACCGAGGGAAACAGGCTCTCCATTCAAGACATTCCATTTTTCAATTTTCCAATATTCCAAAATTGAATATTTTGTCCCAAATACAAATGAAAAGTTGAAAAGAATGATACTTGGATTATTATCTATATATCTATTTATAAGTGTGTATAAAAGCACAGCTTCAAAGTTCCAACAAGATTAATAGGAAATATTTCAAAATGTTTTCTTCCTAAATTTTGGGTTAGCTTATCATTAAATCAAGTTTTAGAAGAGGTCTTTCATTTGGTTGTCTTTGATGTCTGTATTTTTTTCTTGTGGACGTTTTTCTTAGCCCAAATACATTTTCCCATATGCATTTCTAGTTACATTATGCCTATGACACACTACTTTGTTTGGTTACGGGTGAGTCTCAATGCAGTGAGGTAACTCTTTAGGAAGTTCTGCCTTCAAGGGACAGCACAGCCCTGAAGCCTTGCAAGGCACTGAGCCAAGACAAAATGCAGAGTTCAACATTAACTGATTAAAAACAAGTATTTCAGATCCAACTCCTACCAAATGGAAATTATCTGCTATAATTTTCCCAATAGGAAATAAAATGTTAGCAAAACTTTTTTTCTCAAAAAAATTAAAAAGTTCTCATTGTAGGAATGTCATTCTCCATAAAAAACAATTCTAATGGAAAATTCTCAGAATCATCTGAAATGGGGGAAACTATTGCTAGTGTTTTATAAAGATTTTTACAATGAAGTTCCCAAAATTATAAAAGTGAAGTTTACAAAATATTAGTTTATAAAAGATTAGAAAAGAGAAATGCAAAAAAGTCCCAAACTCACAAAACCCCCAAACCCATAAAGATGTGTTCTTCCAGTTAAAATGAGAACAAAGCATCCTATATAACATCCCTCCAAGCTTCTTCAGTCAGCAGTGGCTGGAGAGATCATAGAATCATAGAATGGTTTGGGCTGGAAGGGACCTTCAAAGCTCATCTAGTCCAATACCCCTACAATGAGCAGGGACATCTTCAACTAGATCAGATTGCCCACAACCACATCCTTCCTGGCCTTGAATGTCTCCAGGGATGGCACATCCACCACCTCTCTGGGCAACCTCTACCAGTATTTTACCACCATCATTGTGAAGAATTTTTTCCTTACATCCAGCCTGAATCTCACCTGTTTTAGTTTAAAACCATCACCCCTCATCCTATCACAACATCTGATGTTCTGGCACATGTAACTTGAATTACTCAGCAGAGCCATGCATTCATACTGAATCATTAGTCAGTAAAGTCTAGAATATGACATCTTCCTAGATCTCTGCATGGCTTTCAAGAAGCAAGTGAAATAAAACTGAGAAGTAATATATGTATCTATACAACAGGACAAAAGGAATGGTTGAGTTCATGAAATGGGAGTGTAACATACGTATATATATATATACACACAGGTTGTATCTTAATGCATATTTTTTAACAGCAGGGGAACCTTCTGATGTTTCAGTGAGAATGCAAAACATGTATTGCATGCTGCCATTTCTGTTCCCTTAGTACAAAATAATAAGCAGCAAACTTCTTTTTTTTCACTGCCTCTTATTCTGGCTTGGAAAAGATGATGTACCTGCTCAAATCAAAAGCTATTGCATATAGTAGCCAGTATGCTATTGCATATAGTAGCCAAAAGAAGATTTTTAGGGAAGAGTTAAGAACGGAGAAAGCATATTATACTGATACTTCCCTGCAGTGGCCTCTCAGGTCCAAAAATTCATCTGCGATGTTTTAGTATTTCGTCTGCCTACACAGAGTTATCTTCCATGAACTTGCTTAGTTTTCATTTAACCGATACAAGTTTTAGTACCCACAACACTCTGAAACATGAAGTTCCCCAGTTTAACCCCTCATGTGAAGAACCAATTTTAAACACCTATCAGTTGCTATTTCATTTGATGACTTCCTCTTGAATGGGAAAGGACAATGAACAGCCATTCTCTATTTGTCCTGTTTCCCAGTGAAAATCTTTAAGATGTCATGTCAGTTCAATACACTCCAGCAAAATAACAGTAGGAATCTCACTTAACCTGCACAAACCAGGTGGCACCACATTGGAGTCAGGAAGCCCAGTATTGTCCAGTTATAATTCCAATTAATAAAAAAATAGGGTTGTTTCACCAATACCTGTCGCTGATTTTCTGTCTCTAGTCTCAGTCTGGCTTCTACACATCTTCTGGTCTCCAGGAAGGCTTGACGTTGCGCTCTGTCTGACAGGTAGCTAATGAAGATTCCTGCAGTGTTCATACACATAAATAACACTGCCTGAGCCGCTATCTGCAATGAACAACAAATAAAGTTTGATCAGAGAGGACAAGCAGAAATATCTGTTTAGAAAGAGAAACAGAAAAAGAGAGATACAGAATGACTGCTCTGCAGTCATACAGGCTGTAAAAGCAAAGGTTAGGAAAGTTTACATAGAAGAATCTCTTGGATCTTAATTAGAGGCATCAAAAGCGTAAAATTCTCTCTGCCTTGAGGAAGAAATATGCAGTATTTGGGGGTATTAAACTCTAGATGAACCACAAATGATGTTTCCAAGGACTGACTCACAGGGCTTTAGTCAGGAATGATTATAAACGTAATTAACAATTTGGTTTTGCACTGCCTCTTTTGTAAAAGCAACTCTGTGATTTGTTCAGTGGTTTAGTTTGAGAAGAAAGACATATTAAGGGTAACAAAGAGGGCCAGCTAGCTAAGAATTAATATCAGTGGTAACAGTTATTCTGTTATTATTGACCAAATTAAATACATTTATTTTCAGCTGATGCCAAAGCACAAGCTTGAACAATCTGAATTCTGAACCACTCAACAGGAGAAGCTGAAAGGATAACCAAATTCTTGCATAGATTGTGTCTGTGTACACAGGCCTTTTCTTCACTGAGGTCTACGTCAGAGCTGAACTCTTTTTCCTTACAGAAGGTGCGTCACAGCTTCTTCCTTTGCAACATGAACTTTAAAGAGCCAGATGGGAGTGCATCCTTGGACAACGTAAAAAGGATTATTTGTCTTTCACTGATACCCTTTTGTGTTCTGGATATTTGTAAGACAGAGCACATTGACACCATGGAAGTGGAGATTGGCTGGAAAACTGAGTAAGGAACTTCTAATATCTTCATATACTAGAGACAGAAGAGAGACCTGCAGTTTCAGCAGCTTTATGTAACACCTCATCCCCATTGCAGGTTGCAAATTCATGTGAACTCCTCTCAGTTTCCACTTCATCCTGCCTTCTTTAAACTTGTGAGAGGGTCAAGAGTCAAAAATAAGTCCAGAAGTCATTAGTATTCCTCAAATGCAGCATGTAGGTCCAAACCGCTCTGACTGCTGCCTTAGCTAGACAAGTCATTGGAACACAGCGAACCAGCTGAAAGTTGACAAATTGCAGCTCCTCATCTTCCTGCCAAGGTCCAGTCAAAGCCACTGTGCTGATGAGGTCCCACTGAATGCACCCTGCCTTGTCGGATCACACCTTTCCCCCACCAATAGACCAGCCGTGGAGCAAGAGGAGGCTATATTACCCTGTATCACTTGACCAGCAAAGCCACCAGGATCATAACAACATCAGAACAGCCACATCAGAGCAGATCAAGTATTCATCACTGAGGATGCTGTCTCTGACAGCAGAAAACTGAATGCTAGGTAGGAGTACAAGGATAAACAGTACATATGACTACACGAATAAAACAAGCATTCAGAGATGTTTTGTCAAAACATTCTTGAACACTCCAGAATCTGTGGTTGCAGAACACTGTGGGCTAGAGGCTGAATTTTTGTAGTATTGCCTGATAATCAGTCTCCCTAAAATTAAACTGTTACTTCTCCTAATAGAAGAGAGAAAACATTTAGCAAAACTACCTAATCTCATTGTGGTGCTTTGCCTCAGATCTTCAGGTCTCACTCCTCACATTCATGTGGGTTTGAAAGTGAGATTTGATATCAAACCAAACGCATCTGGCAGACACTTCAGCTTCACATAGTCCTGTATTTCTGAATCTGGAGTATTGTTCTGCAGTAGTACAGGATATTCATGTACTATTTATATGCCATGATTAAATAAGAATGCATATCCTGGCTCCAGCAGAGGTTTTGTTTAACCTTTGCTAGTAATAGATGTCTAGGTAAAACTTGTGAGAAATAGGGCATGATTAGCATGATCCTTGCATCTTTCTGGCTTTCAGGATTCTGTGGTTCACAGCACCTCTGACATGGAGGTGACATACTTCATGCTTAACTTTTTCTGATACTTTTCTGATTGTAAGGTTAATTGTACCTTTGACCCCTATAACATTCAATGACAAAGATTCCTACGATGTTATTAGGCACTTTGTGATAAAAATGTTTCCTTGTGGGTTTTTTTGCTTTAATTCACAGCTTCATCATTTGAGGGCCTCGTCATGCTTGGAAACAGTGACTAATCATTCCCAATTCATCTTCCACTTACTCATTTTACTGACTTATAGCATTACTCCTTTTATTTTTTAACAGGGACAGATTTGAGAGTATTTAGCCTCACTGTTTTATCACTATTCCACCTCTGTGCTTACTGCTTCTTCCCTGTTATCTACTTTACCCTGTTTTACTGGAGACAGGTTGCCCCAGACACTCTCTGCCTTTGCTCCAAGATAAAACAGTGAATGCAATAATTCAGCTCATGAGATAACTCCTTTCTGGTGCTGGCTACTAAGAGCCATATGATGCGCAGACATTAGATAAGACCAGTTCAGAATTATGTTGTTCAGCAGAACAACTGAAATCAGCTGTAGGTGGCTGAAGAAGTCTACATTTCATACCTTTTTGACTGACTTGAAGATAATCAGTGTTCACACATACGGAAAGCTAGAGCATAGGGTGAAAAAGAGACGAGCCTTTCACAACATCTGAAATGTGCATTTCAGTGGTGAAAGCAGTGGCAGGGAGCTCTTGTTTGCTTGCAAATTCAATTGCAAGTTCCTGAGCTCAGTCCAGTCACCCACCTCTGCTAATACTCAGGACTAGTGCCACTCACTTCAGCAGATCTCCTTAGAGCAAATGCAGTAGAATTTGGCCTTCAATTAGATTTCATGAGCACATAATTTGATTTGGGCAAAGGGAATTATGGAAAACATGTTCCAGGTAAAACAACAGTTTAAGCAGAGGCAGAATCTGCTTTTTTTTACACATTGCAGTCTGATTGAAAGCAATCTAAACAGTAAAGCACTATGCCTTGCAAGGATACTAATCTATTGTTCTTGTTAACAAAAGAATGAAAAAGACATATAAGACCTGAATCTCTCATTGCCAATCTTTTTTCCTGCAGCTTATGGTGCCCAATTCCAGGAGTCTTGCAGAATTTTTTACTGCTTATCAGGGCCACATACTAGGGCAGACTGATTTTGTATGATGTACACAGTTTCATGTCTCTTTGACTGGCCCGAAGACAATCAATAATCACACAGTAGGAAAGCTGAGGTATAACATGAGAAAAACGAAAATCTTTTCACAGCATTTTTTGAGCAATTTATGTGCAAAGTCTATCTGTACTTTGCACAGCACTCAAATAAGCAACTGTAGCAGAGACAGCAAGTGATCTTAAAAAGCCATGGGTGCTATGTTTTGAGGTTAAATAGGGCTCTGGGGAGGTCTGCTTTTTGAATACTTAAAAAATGCAAACAAGAAGGTACCCATCACCGTGCTGCTTCAGAGTATCTGTGTAACAGGATCCACACTATCCCTGCTGAATATAATCGCATAATAGGAGTAACAGAGCTAAAGAAAGTTACTTGACAAGATCATGCAGATAATTAGACGCAGCCATTAAAATTTTTACTCCAAAACTCTGATTCCCATATTTCTCATAGGAGGTCATTAAGAGCTTAGCTCACAGAGAAATCACTTGTCAAGTAAATTTACAGTTCTAAAGTGTCCCTCATACAGGCACCTTGGAGCCCTTTGCAAAATCAATATGAAAACTAGCCAAAACCCAAGGCAATGAAAGGAGAGGACACAGATCAGAGAAGAAAGTCAAGATTAAGGTGGACAGTACACATTGTTTCAAATGATTTCATTTTTATCTGTCACTCATTGTATAACAGGGTTTTGCCGAGACAGCTGAAACCAAGATAACATTTTGAGTTAATCTGAGAACCACCAGATATCAAAGAAACAATTAAAAGGCACTGGACACAGCTGGTCAGGAAGAAGTATCAGTCAAGGTAGGTACAAGACAGTAACGTAAGAGAACAGGAAAAGGGAAATTAATTGAAAAGATGGTAAAGTAGCTCACAAGTCTGTAGCAAAGTGGGAGGTGAATCAGCCACAGGCAGCTTTTTAACAAAATTGAATGTAGTTCAGGAAACAGGAAATTCAGAAGGATACAGGTGAGTTACTGAGAGTAGAGCTGGGCTAAGCATAACAACAATTTCTAGGCATTTCTTCTATTAAGAACACCTAATTGTGTTTGCCTTGATTTGGAGCTTACACAGAATCCTGTGAGTTTATGAACAAATGGGAGTGCATTAAGGAAGAGTTTGCAAATGCCAGAAGTTTCAAAACCTCAAAACCCATAACTAAATTGTGTTTCAATTTTTCCACAAGTTTCCTCTTTGAAAAGGTGAAATTGTCCATTAAGGAATATAAAGCTATTAGGCTGGCTGTAGAGTCTCGTAATTCAGTGCTTTCTAAGGCCTGCCATTAGTAGACACGTATGGAGTGTGTAGTGATTAGCTGAGTCCAGCATTTCCAAAGAGCCTGTAACCTGAGGAAATGTGAATACCTAGGAACAAACCCAACAGATTGGAAATGAGCTCATAGCTAGCCCTAAAAGATAGTAATTGCTACAGAAAATTTTCATCATTAATAGTTGAACCAATGGTAGCACACATTCACATGGAAAGCACAATGGAAGTGGAGGAGAAAAAGCTAGAAAAGTTTAGAAACAATTCCGAAATCCAGAAGGACACTGAACTTGAGTGTGCTCTGCAGAAATAAACCTATTATGAACCTCTTCAGCAAGTTAATTTGGTCTGCTGTGTAGAAACAGCAGTGCTGGGGCTGAACTTGCCAAAACACAGCTGAAAATTAAAGAAATTGTTTCCAATGTAATCTCCAGTTGGACATTCTCAAGGCAGATCAGTCCTAAAGAGCAGAAATTTCATTAATTCCTGAAACGAGCCTATGGGAATTATTTAATCCTTCTCCTATTTTGTTTTCTAATTTTGAATTGTCTTCAACAGCAGATTAGAGTAGTTCTTGTTTGTTTTGGGAAAACTGGGGAAGTAAAGCTGTTGTGCTTCTTT